AAGCTGCTGCAGAGGCTCTGAGCCTGTTCAGGCAAGGTGACCCCTGCGATGGGCCATGGGTGGGCTGGTGCTTTGCTGACCTGGGTCTGCACTGTGCCTGTGCTCCTGAGAGCTTCCATCACTCACCCTGCCCCCGTGCTGTGCACTGACCTGCAGTCCAGCTGCCTGACCAGGCTGTCTCCCTTCTGCTCCTGCTTCCACAGAGCTGCACACGCTGTGGCAGAATGAGGAGAGGGCTGCCATGTCCTCTGGCAAGATCTACGACATCTGGCACCGCCGACACGACTACTGGCTGCTGGCAGGAATTGTCACGTACCCTTTGGCCTGGCAGAGCAGGAGGCAGCGAGGCTGGAGAGGCCTCTCTGGGGGTGTGGGAGCTGCAGTGATGAGCAGGGAGAGGGTTTGGGGCCATGGTGTCATTGTGGGGTGGCGAGAGAGGCCTCTCTGGGGGTGTGGGAGCTGTGCTGGAGCTGCAGTGATGAGCAGTGAGAGGGTTTAGGGCCATGGTGTTACTGTAGGGTGGTGGGCAGGCTGTTGGCTGGTTGGTTCTGCCCTTGACCCTTCTCCCACACCAGCCATGGCTATGCCCGCTGGCAGGACATCCAGAACGACCCACGGTACGTGATCCTGAACGAGCCCTTCAAGTCAGAGATACACAAGGGGAACTACCTTGAGATGAAGAACAAGTTCCTTGCCCGGCGTTTTAAGGTGAGTGGCAGGCCCAGGGCTGGTGAGTCCTTGGTGGTGGGAGGACCAGAGCAGCACCACCCTGAAGCCAGGGGGGTTTGCCAGCATCTTCTGTGAGTGAAGTGGGGAGTGGACTTTGCAAGGAGCTCTGTTTTTACTGGTTTATAGTGGGGCAGGGTTTGGTCCTGAATTTTTGTCTTCTGCCCCTCCCAGTTGCTGGAGCAGGCCCTGGTGATCGAGGAGCAGCTGCGGAGGGCGGCGTACCTCAACATGACCCAAGACCCCAGTCACCCGGCCATGGCTCTGAACGCACGGCTGGCAGAAGTGGAGTGCCTTGCTGAGAGCCACCAGCACCTCTCCAAAGAGTCCCTGGCTGGGAACAAGCCTGCCAACGCTGTCCTGCACAAGGGTATGTGCCTGCAGGGCTGGGAAGGGCTCCCCACCCTCACCTGGGGAGCCAAGCCAGGAGATCTCCCTATCTTGTGTTCTCTCTGACTGCTCCTCTCAGCTTGCTGGGTCTGATAGGCATCCCCTCAGGTCCCTCCTGCTTTACTTGCAGTGCTGAACCAGCTTGAGGAGCTGCTGAGTGACATGAAGGCTGATGTGACACGCCTGCCCTCCATGCTGTCCCGCATCCCGCCCGTGGCTGCCCGGCTGCAGATGTCAGAGCGGAGCATCCTCAGCCGCCTGGCCACCCGAGGAGGGGACCCAGCTGCCCAGGTCTGTGGGGACAGGCACAGAGCCCTCACTGAGAGGGTCATGGGCAGGGCAGGGCTGCAGGCCCGTGTCTTGTCTCCCTCCTTGCCTCCCCAGGGCTCCTTTGGCTCTGCCCCGATCTTCAACAACAGCTTTGGGCCAAATTTCCGTGGTCCTGGGCCAGGTGGGATTGTCAACTACAGCCAGATGCCTCTGGGACCCTATGTGACTGGTAGGCTGGGGTTTTGCTCTTGGGCAGAGAAATTCAGAGGGTGGATTTGGGTGGTCCGGGAGTGCTGCCAAAGGACACTAGTGAGCAAGGTGTTTCCTCTGTCACCACAGATATTTAGCAGTTCCCATGATTTTTGCCTGCAGCTCCCGCTCCTAGCCGAGGTAAGGCTGTGCTTCCCGCTCTCTGTGCCGTTTGCTGGGGAACATGAAGGGGTGGGGGGCTAAATGGAAGCTCCATTTTGGGCTGCCCCCCAGTGCCAGTATCTGACTGTGGCCTCTACCTCAAGCAGCCACAGTGGAGGTGGGAGCAGAATCTGCAGCCCATCCCAGGTGGGGTTGGCATGCGGGGAGAGTTCAGATTTGGCTTATGGACAGCCCTCCTCTCTTCTCACAGCAGCCCTGGGGGACAGCCCCCTGTCCCTGGCCATGAGCCGCTGTTGCCAGAGGTCGGCAGGGAAATTGTGCCAGCGTTGCCTGCGTGGAAGCCAAGCTGCTGCTGCTGCCGGCGCTGCCGCGCTGTCCCGCTCCCGCTTCAAGTGTGCTTTGCCTGCTGCGGCCCCCGAGGGAGCGGCGGGGCCGGGGGTTTGTGTCCGTGTACATTTTTTGCACTTTCTTATTGAAGACTTGAAGAGTTTGTCTGGGCAAGGTGGGCTGAGGGGAGGGAGGGAGGGCTGGAGCTGCGGTGTTTGTCTGGTTGTGTTGGCAGGTGTAGGGGTGAGTGGAGGCCAGTGGTGCCATGTCCCGGCCGGCTGTGCTCCCCAGCTTCCCCTAAGGGCCGTCTCTTCATCCTGGTGGTGTTGGAGCAAGCCCACGCCTGTTGCTGCCCTGTTGGAATCCCTGGCACTGCTGTGGTGTGGCTGGGGGTCCATTTGTGCCGGGTTTGGGGCAGGCAGATGGAGGGGATGTGGGTGGGACAGAGGGGACAGCTGGAACTGGGATGGGGATGCCTTGAGCGTGGTGGCACCGGCAGCCGTAAGCAACGCCCCTGCATCCGCTTCGTGCTCTGTGTGTCCCGGTTTCTGTTCTGTGTTTTAATAAATCCTTTGGGAAGGACGCAGTGCAGTCTGGCAGGGGAAGGGATGCTGGGGGGCCTGGCTATGGTTTTGGTACCCCTGTTGTCCACACACACACATACGTGTCCACAGGAACGTACACAGACATGCACATGGAGACACAGGGACATGCACACATGGACAGACTGACATGAGAATGTGGTGTATCTACAGTTACTGTTATCTCTGCATGGTGCACATATATCCACACGTCTGCGTCATTCCCACACATGTACCTTTTCATATACAGCACGTGTAGATCTGTGTAGATATACACAGAACTGTTTCAAATCTACATGTGTGCATATATATCTTTATATGAGCATACACAGCTATAAATACTGATTTATTTAGGTATTGCTATGTAGGTATGTACCTGTACATGTAGACCTGTATAATATACAGGTCTATATAATGTATTTGTGGTTTTAATGTGTATTTGTGTACATATATACTTGTGAGTGTGTGTGCAGACACAGGTATGGGTAGATAATGGATATACGTACATAGAATAGATCTATATGTGGTATGAATGTATAGATCTATATTTACAGAGGTGTATTTACACATGTATGTATATGTAAGAATACACATAAGTTTGTGTTTTTAATTTGAATATATGCACATATGTGCGTAGATGTATCTATATAGCTATACATCTCTGTATCTCCATATCTCTGTATGGCTGTATAGGTGTATTGATCTTTGTTATGTGTTCACAGACACAAATGTATTTGTAATTTTCATATATTTATACATAAATGTAGATACAGGTAAAGGTGTATAGCTGTCCTAGACAGAGATAGTATATGTGTGTGCATATTCACAGACACATATGTTTGTTATTTCACATGTATATATGAATGTATATCTTTCTGTTTGCACACAAACATCGATGTAGCTCTGTAGACAGTGGTACATGTGTAGGTAAAGCTGTAGAGGTTTAGCTGCAGGTAAATCCATGTACCTAAAGGTGTAGGGGTGTGGATGTGGGAGGTGTGCTGACCCTCAGATACAGAGGGGAGCTTTGGTGTCATGAGTGGGTCAGAGGAAACCCCCCCGTGTTTGTACACATGCACATTTATAGTGGGGCTGTAGGTGCAGCCATGGCCACACAGCAGATAAACACACACACAGTGTGGAGTTCACACTGTGCACAGAGCTCGCACACACTGCACAAAGCTGAGGGACTGAGGGACTGCACCTACATTTACAGTTTTTATATTTGTCTCTTCACAGAGGAAACTGTGTATAAATGTATGTGGCTATGGATACATCTATATAGATACAGGCAAAATGTTTGTTTTGCACAGAGTACACAGAGAGCTAAAAAGATAGATACATGTAGCTATATTGTTCTCCTTATAGCTTTATGTATCATCTATCTGTATCTATCATACATGTATCCATATATATATAGCTATAGCTAGACATGCAGCTATATATATGTAGCTGTAGCTGTATCTAAATTACAAATATTTGTGTCCACTTGTATATATGGCATGTGTTTATAGAGGTATAGACATGAGTATATAGTTAAAAAGCTGGGTATGGATATAGAGACATCTACACATATATCTGTATATACACATCTATCTGCATATACACACATTTAAGTGCATATCAGTAATTTTCATGTGTGCATATATCCATACAAACATGGATATAATGTTTGTATGGATATAGGCACACATAATACCTAAATATATTGCTGCTGTAGCAATATATTTACATGGATATGTGCACATCTATATATTACATATATGAATCAACACACAGAACCATGTATGTCTGTTTATACACAAGCACATGGGTGTCTACGTGTGTGTATATACATTATACATGTATTTTTCAGAGGTGTGTGGACACATCTACATACATATTGATTTCTCAGAGACTGATGTCAGGGATGGAGGTGGAGGTAGAGCTACATCTGTCCGTGTGTGACTCTCTCTGTGTGTGTGTGTCTGTAGACACCCCTGTAACTGGCATACGTGGGTGCATGTGTGGAGCCTTTCAGTAGCTTTGTGCAGATACAACTGAAGGTGCTGGTGGGCTGTGTGCACCTCCACAGCTGCTGTCTGCAAATCCACACATCCCCACGTGTCTGTATGTCCCTGCATCTCTGTGTGTGTCCATGCACACTGACACTTGCACGCCTGCCCACACACACTCCCCCCAGCCCTGCCCCGTGCTCAGCCTTAGCACCCCAGCTCTTCCCGCAGCAAACTCCCTCCCATCACCATCCCACCCACGCTTTCCCTGGGAGCTGGGTCTCTCCAGGAACCACAGCCCCTCGGTTCCATGGGAGAGGGCAGAGGCGAGGCCCGGGCGCAGGCTGGGGAACAGCTTCGTGTTGTTGGCCTCGTGGGCGTACAGCACCCGCGTGCACCCCGCGCCCGCCGCCGCCGTGGAGGCAGAGCCACGCATGCAACGGGTCCGGCTGCGGGCAGGGCAGCTCGGGGCTCGCCTCCTGTCCCTGCGCCGCAGAGCCGCGTCCGGGGCAGCGCGGGAGGAGCGCTGGCGCTCGGCGCTCGCGGTGCAAACCACACTCTTCTCCACTTTGCTCCAACAAAGCGTAAAGCAAGCGAACGGGCGGCGAGGGCTGTGCGGCGCGCTCGGGCGCGCTTAGGATCTGTAGTCCTTCTTGCTGTATGGTTTGTTGCCCAGGATGCTATCGATCTCGTGGACGATGGAAGACGACAGCTTTGGAAGGACCTGTGGGGGATGAGGGCAATGCTGGGAGTTGGGATGGTGCCCTGGTGGGTGAGAGGATGCTCACCGCCTCCACCCCGCCACGTTTGCGCCAGCTTGCCGGCAGGGTGACCCAGTTAGGGAGAGCCTGAGTCAGGCCCAACCCTGCCCCCTCAGCCCAGCAAAGCCTCATCTTTGCTTCTCGCCTTCATGACAAGCAAAACCTGTCGTGAAGCTGGGTTTACAACCCCCTTTTCCCGCAGAGTGCAGCACTGCAGTGAGTGCTGTGGGCAAATGTTGCTCCTGCTGGGACCACTGACCTGTATTGCTCCGATATTCTCCATCAGCTGGTCGGCATTGGAGGCCCCCAGTAAGACAGAGCTGACACCCTCGTTGCGCAGGCACCAGGCTGGGATAGGAGGGAGAGCAGAGCTTGAGCACAGCCCAGATACCCCTGGTGTCACCCCCAGCTGTCCCCCATCCTCTTACCTATGGCAAGCTGGGGCAGGGTGCAGCCCAGGCGCTCAGCAATGGCCTGCAGCTCCTTCAGCTTTGCCTGCTGCCGCCGGCCCTCTTCACTCAGGATCTTATCCTTCAGCCACTGGTATCCCTGGGGAGTGGGAAGGGGTGTTGTGGTGGGATCCGGGTGCACCAGCACCTTGCACAGGCAGGGTATCCCCCAAACTCCCTGGGTTGTGGCTCCTGGAGTTCCTGTTGGGACTTTGCAAAGCCCCTGGCCCTGCTCCCCATCTCTCCCATCCCCGTGTGCCCTCCCAGCCCTGGTGCAGCTCACCTTCAGTGAGGCACGGGAGTAGGGGGGGATGCCCCCATCATACTTCCCCGAGACGATGCCACAGGCCAGTGGGGACCAGGTCATGGCTCCAACACCTGGGGACAGAGCAGAACAGGGGGATGACACCACTGCTCCCACCTCCCCCAGGGGCTGTGGCACCTGGCCTCAGCAGCACTGTGCTTTGGGGGGCTGGGGAGGAATCCCCACTGTCATACCTATCTTGTGGAAGAGCTCAGGCAGCTGCACCTCCACCTTTTCCCGCTGGAACATGTGGTACTCGGCTTGCTCGCAGATGGGCGGGATCAGGTTGAACTGCCGGGCCACCGAGTACGCCTCCTGCAGAAGATCCAGGACCCTCAGTGCCCTGCCGACCTCCCCGAGCCCCCTGCCCAGCCCCCCAGCCATGTCCTGAGCGGCCACCCCGAAAAATAATTAAGGCTTAAGTGCATCTGCACACGCTTGGCTCCCAACAGCTGCTGTCTAATTGAATCAACGTCAGCAGCATCGCTGGGGCTGCTCTGCTGCGGCCGCCCCGTCCCCTGGGCCCCTACCATGATCTCCATGGAGCTCCAGCGCGAGGTCCCCCAGTACATGGCCATCCCCTGGTTGATGACATGGGTCATGGCTCGCACTGTCTCTGCCGGGAGGGAAGGAGAGAGGGGCAGGTGGGGTTTAGCAGGGGCTGCACTGGCAGAAGGGGCTCGCACGGTGCCGATGGCTGGCGAGCATCCCACTGCCCCGTGCTGCGGTGGGAGCTGCCTGCTGTCCAGGGAATGCTTTCAGAAGAGCAGGATGGGGAGAGAGGGAGCAGCCACTCGGGATGTGCCAGGGACCGCAGCCGACCTGACATGCTCACACGGTGCCAGGCTCTCCCTGCATGGACAGCAGCCTCAGGCTTCTACCAGTGCCCCCACGCCCTGTGGGGTTACCAGCACTGGCACTGCTGCAGGGGGAGGGACTGATGCATTGCCCACACACAGAGACCCACAGAGGGAAGCCTGAACCCTGTGTGAGCCATTCAGGCGTCTTGGGGGGAGCCAGCCCTGAGCCATGCAGGCTGGGGCCAAGCCAAGGCGTGCTCCTGCAGCCAAAGGCGAGCAGCGGGGAGGGCAAGGCACCAGGGCACACACCCCAGCATGCTCACAACTGCCCCGGTGGGGAGGGACCCTGCTGCAGACCCTGGCATGTGCCAAGGGCACCTCATGGCAGGACCCTGGGGGGTGGGAGCCTCTCTGCTTTTTGTCCTTTAAACTGCAGTACAGTCTGAAGGGCGAGGGGGGTGTCTGTGTTGTGCTGCTGCTGCCTCTGCATCTCATGGCAGGGTTTGCTTGAGAGGGGGGAACAAGGATGGGGGATCACAGAGGAGTGGGGGCTCTGCCCCGGGAAACACCGCTGGGACAGGCAGCGGCTGGCGGGCAGAGTGCGGGCAGGGAGTACCTTCTACGATGAAAGTCCTGGACTTGGAGGAACTAAATGGGTCCCCTGGTGATAAAAGAGAGATTTAGAGAAAGTGGAGTCACCGCTGCTGGGACGGGGGCAGTGACCTGCCACCACACCGCCACCCCGCCCCGCCGCGGCCCGAGAGGGTCCTGGCACCGGGCAGGAGGTGGCAGAAGTGTGACTGTGGGCCAGCCGTGGTGGCAGAGGAGCGGATTCTGCTTGGGAGGGAAAATGCCCTTGAAACACAAGCCTGGCGCAAACCAACCGCGAGGGCGATGAGAGGCAGCGGGGAGGAGCGAGGCACCGCGGCGCGCACCCACCTTCCATCGGCGTGTTGGGGTCGGGCCGGTTGGCAAACACCACGTCCACGTACTCCAGCTGCAGCCGCTCCAGAGATGCCTTCAGACCTGCAGAGGGATGGACTGTCAGGTGTGCTGAGCCCCATGCTGCCAGCACGGGGGCAGAAGGTGAGGCACAGCCTGGCACCGGGGCCAGCAGCGTCTGGAGAGTGCCCTCACCCCTATCCCTACCTTCTATGATGTGTTTTCGGGACAGGCCCCTCTCTGTCTCGGCCCTGCAAAAGGAAATGTGGGTGAGAGCCTGGGGTGATAGCCTGACCCATGCCAGCTGCTCTGCTGGAGGATGGGTGTTACCTACTTTCCTCCCCAGAAGATTTTGGTGGTGATGACCAGGCTGGACCGTCTGCAGGGAGAAAAAGAGAATCACTGATGGCACCCGCAAGGTCCCATGCTCCCTGCCTTGGATGGCACACTCCTGCCCAAGGCTCTACCAGCTTTCCCCTCCCAGCTCATTGGGACTACAGTGATGTTTTTGCCAAATAGGGACGGTGTCTGGCTTACCTCCACCCTTTCTTCTTGATGATATTTCCCAGCACCACCTCAGCCCTGCAAGCGAAGGGGACATCAACCATTAGCACCTGGCAGGTGCAGCCATGGGGAGTGGTGAAGCCAGCAGAGATGGCCCCAGACCTCAGGAGAATAAGAGGCAAATGCAGTGGCTGTGGGGACACACTCTGCCCCAGAGCTGAGCTGCCCCCAGTGCATGAGCTTGCTAATTTTAAGGGGATGCATGGACATATGCCAAAGCCCTGGGTACAGCTGTGCTCAGAGGGTGCACAGCTGGACCTGCATGATAGAGGCCACCATGGGAAGCATGGGACTGCCAGAACCATGACTCCCCCTGTGAGCAAGCGCTCAGAGCCCCATCCTGGAAGTTGCTTTGCAGCTGGCAAATCTGGGATATTCCCATTGCCACTGGGATTTGGTGAGAGTCGGGGTGTAGGGTGAGACAAAGCAGGGTACCTACTTGCCAGCAGCGTAGACTTCTGCCGTGTCGAAGAGATTAATGCCGTTGTCATAAGCTAAAGTCATCAGCTGCTCTGCCATCTGCGAGGAGAGAGAGAGCAGGGTCTGTGAAGGGGGTGGCCGAGAGCTGGCGCACACGCGTGCGCACAGTGCTGGTGAGCTCCGGCGGGCCGCATGCACCCAGGCCACAGCCAGCCCCATTGCCCCCATCCCCTCCCCGCTCACCAGGGGAGAGACAGGGTGAAGGGGTGCAGCCTTACCTCATCTGTGATCTGCCCTCCGAAAGTCACCCATGTTCCTGCGGGGGAGAGAGAGAGGGGTGTGCATGGTGAGTGTGGTGAGCAACGAGCGCGGCCACATCAAGGCCACCCACCCTGGATCCCCCAGCACAGCCCTGGCACGTGGTGGCCACAGCTGGCCCTGCCGCGTGCACTGTGGTGCTCCCAGCACGGCCCAGTCGCTTCCTATCGCGTCAGGAAAAGAGAAAATAATTTGACAATTTCTGGGCCGTGACTCAAAACAGCCGCAGGGCTGAGGAAAACCCTTTCCTTCCCTTTGCAAACATCACCGGGGCGAGCGGGCGCTGCCCTGGCCGGGGAGTGCCGGCAGCTGCTGCTGAACTGAGGGGATGCCGAGGGGCTGTGGCAAACCCTGGCACTTACCCAGACCCAGGCAGGACACACGCAGCCCAGACTTCCCGAGGTTCCTGGAAGACAAAGACCATTAGGAAAGGTGCCAGAAACCCCAAAATGCTGTCTCATACATCCTGCATGCCACCAAAGAGACCGGGAGCGAGGACTGGGAGGTGTGGTGGTGTCCCCTGGTCCCCATCCCCACCTGGGATGGTTCCACAATGAGAGTCCCATCTCAACTGATTAACGAGCCATCCCAGGGTGGGCATCCTGCAGCTCAGTAGTGGCACTGCCTGAACCTGCGCAGGGATGCTGTGCCTGGCAGGGCTATTGGGAGAGCAGTGACCTCGTTAAAGCAGCTCCCCATAATGAGGCTGGGGTATCCAACTGCCCTGAGAATGCCGCTGGCACTGGGGAATGAGAGTGGAGAAAGAGAAGCCAGCATGCTACTGGTCAGGACTGAAGCATCCCAAACATGGCACGAATTGTGCCTGTTCTCTGCATCTCACAGGGAAGCACAGGGCTTGCACCAGGCAAGGGTGCTCGGGAGTGGAGCGACATCCTGGAGAAATGGAGCACCCCAGAAAATCTGACCGGCACAAGGAACTGGAGAACAGCTTTCAGGAAGGGGGCCAGGCTGGCAGACGCCTTCGCTGTGGTGATGGAGAGCCAGTTACTTGTTAAAAATGACAAAGGCTCAAGAAATGAGCGTTAAAATAAATAAAGTGTAGGTGAGCCGCGGCAGCTCGCCCGCGCGGGTGTCGCATAGCAACCGGAGGCACCGCCACCGCCGGCACCGCCGACACGGGCACCGGCAGCCGGGCAGGGAGTGGCTGCGGCCCAGCCACGGGCAGCCGTGGGCTGCTCTGAGTCAGGGCAGCAGCTCTTGTGCTGCCATGCTATTGCCCAGCAGCTGGAGGCACCGGCTGTCCCCTGTCCTGTGGTGTTTTTAGAGCAGTTTGTGGTGGGGAGAGGTCGTGGCCGTGGGCCAGCGGTGGCTCAAGACCTCATGATCGGGGTTGCCATGTGGAGAGGAGAGCACCTGCCTCATCCTGGGCATTCCAAGAACATTGCTAAGGTTCCCCTGGGCAGGTGGCCATTGCTGCTCTTGTCTGCCCAGCCCAAAAGTGTGGTTGACAGGCTGCGCAATAGAGATACTGGCAGACCTTGGGAAGGCCAAGCATTCCCCTGCACTGCCATGGCCTTCCTATCCCATCCACTTCTTTGGAGCATCCCCCTGTGCCACTGTCCCTCCAGCAGCCAAGAGTGAGGACTCCTGAGCTGATCATCCATTGCCTGGGAGAGGGTATTGCCGATATGCTCCTCCTCTGGATGAGGACATGACTGAGGGCAGGAGCACTGAGCCCTGAGGATGCCACCGTGCACTGTCCCAGTACTGCTGTTACCACAACAAGGGTTCGGTGCTGGAGAGCTGGGCAGAACTGGACCAGCCCCCTCCCCAGTACCCAGGTAAGGGGACTCAGCCGATTTGGACGGCACTGGTGGGTGCCAGCCAGGCTCACCCCAGCACTCTGCTGGCCTTACACACTTTGTTGCCTAATGCTGGCACATCTGGGCTTCAGCGGAGGCAGCAGCCGCTGGCAGCTGGACCATGGCGTGCAGGCTTATATGGGGGGTGCCCTACCCTGTCCTGGGGTCCATGCTCATCTGGGGAGAGCCCCAGCCCCATGCCCAGGAGCACACTCAGCCTCAATGGGAGAAGCCCTCAGTGCTCTGCCCCAGAGCCAGGACATGGGGTGTGTGAGTCCGGAGGGTGCTGGCTGGGGGCCCCCACATGCACACACCACCCCGTTTCCAGAACCACCATGGGCAGCCAGAGCTGCTTGTGGCTCTGCACTCACTTCGCCGGGCACCGAGTCCCCGGCAGCACGGAAAGGATGCCATGGCAGCCCGGATTAACGCTACCGTGACTCCCAGACCCCCCCGGCTCGGCAGCCAGCCCGGCTTGGCAGACACTGAGGATGCTACTAATCCCACTCTGAATTTTAGGGTCCCTTCTCTCCCCCATCCTGAAGATTTTACGCGCGGCTGGATCAAAGCTGCCCTGAGGGGACAGGAGCAAACAGCGAGGAAGCGCACGGAGGCGCACGGTCAGCACTTTTAGCGACGAGAAACCGACACAGCCGGACGCGAACCGGAGATAAGCGGAGCGCCCCTGACCCCCAGCCCCCCTCGCCGCCCCGATCGCAATGAGGAACACAGGGAAAACC